GAGTAAATATTTCTATCTATCAACAGTCGAAAATCTAATCGATAAGAAGCTACAAGTTGTGAATCAAGCATTCTCTGCTTGAACCACAATCGCATCCTTCCTAGAAGACAAGCTTCAAATAATTTCAATATAATGCTTAATTTAGCAAAGTTGTCAGTTTCAGGCTCTACATTCTGTGGGATTTGCCTTGTCATTTATAGATTTGCCTAAGAAACGGCATCCAACTTGTTACTTTTATTTAGCAAATCCTAGCTTTATTTGGTGAAAGTTTTCTGAATTGTTCATGTTTATATTCAGGTATCAAAAGCTGATCAATCCGAGAGAACACTAGTTTTACAGAACAGATTTGATTGATATTCATATGTCAACTTCTTTCTCTTCTGCAGGATCAAAAGAGAAGAAGCCAAAATCACTGCTTGGGAGAATTTGCAGAAGGCAAAAGCTGAGGCAGCCATAAGGAAACTGGAGGTTACTTTTTTCTTGAATGCTTCTCCATTCACAATTGAAGTAATAGTAGAGAAATAGTTTAGTCAACGATCAACCTTGATACAGTGAAAAAAGTTCTTTCTGGCAGATGATTATTTTAATTAGTTCTTTCCATTTCTTTGTCACCTTTAGCTTGCTCATATAGATGTTGAAGCTATCATGTAAAGTACTGCTGTAGATAGCGTTACTTGCTCTTTCTCTGGGCAAAACTGTTGGTTCTTAATTTGAATATACTCTGTTAAGGAAACACTACTAATGAAGAGGAAAATATAGGATCTGTAATGCATATTTAACAATTTGTGGTGAAAATTCAGTGGATCTTGCATGACGAAAATGCTTCATTTCTTTGTCATTACTAACGCAAAAATGTATTTCAGATGAAGCTGGAAAAGAAGAGATCATCATCAATGGATAAGATAATGAATAAACTGAGATCAGCTCAAAAGAGAGCCCAAGAAATGCGAAGTTCGATGTTAGCCAACCAGGCCCAGCAAGTTACAAGGACCTCACATAAGGCCATATCATTCAGTAGAACCCGCCAGATGGGTTCATTGAGCGGTTGCTTCACCTGCCATGCTTTCTAATTCCTTACTTGGCTATCTGTTAATGGTTCAACTAGGCGTGAAATGCCAGGTAACTTATTTTGAATAGTGGTTTCATGTCAAATTTTTTGCTCTTATCTTTTTTCAAAAGAAAAATAAAAAAGAACCCTGGCAAGGAGGGAGTGTGTGCGCGTGTGTATTGAGTATCATCTTAGTTTAGACAGTGATAACATATCATAAGGAATCGAAATATGCTTTAAGATTTCACCATATATACGTATTGGATGAGTGAGTTCACTGATCTGGAGAGTAATCCAAGATCATTCATATAAAATGGTGAGGCATCCCTTAATAATCTCCATTTCACATGCAAGTCAATGTGCTTGCTAAACATATTAGCAATTTTTTTGTTATTTAAAATGGCACTTCAACATCGCATGCACATAGACTGCTTCAAGTTTTGATTATACAGTATATTATTGGTAATGTAGTTTTATGATTACATTGTTTCATCTTGTCTCTTCGCCAGTTTGAAGAACAAAGACCCCTGGAGACTATGAATATTGTACAGGAAGCAACTTCAATACTGACGCTAAATTGGTGTCACTGCAGTTTTGCATGAATGAAACACCACTATCTCCATCAAGGTTCCAGATAAGAACAAGACCCCAATTGCTATCCGCCGGACCTTCATAATTTCCTAATGTTTGACTAATAAAATCCTGTATGCATGTCTGTATGTAAATCAACCTTTTCGAGTGTTCTTTCTTACTATAAATGACAGTTTGCCATGGAAATGGAAATATCGTTCATGTCTTTTACTTTCTTAATTACAGCAAGTAATCGGATTGATGACGTCAAATATATGCAAAAGCATTTCAATTTTGTCATTAAAACTTCCAAATGAGGCAGGCTCATCCCCCTCCCCATCTTTCCCCATTCCCTTTTTTCGTGTATATCTTTTGAAAACTTGTCATTTTGAAAGAACTATGTAATGAGCTTGTGAGTATTGCATCATCTGTGTCAAATTGTCAATCTGTTTTAAGTTGGTGTTGGTGTATTGGGTCTTGAGGCTGAAGATGTGAGGTCAAGGATCCCAACCGGGTAGAATTGACATAATCCTGAGGGGAATGAGCTGATAATCCTGGTACCACTAATCCAATCATCCTCCACATTCTCAGAAACCAGCCTTCCTTGTAGTCTGGACCCTTCGCGTAAGGCATGATGAAGCCCCTAACAAGCTCCCAAATTGCGTTCATGTTCTTTGGTAATACCCATTGCAAAGAGAAGTAGTTCTTGTTCGGTTCCTCCGACAAAACCTGCATTACGAAATTAATACGTTCAAGACCATTTCTATTGTTTCCGAATCAGAATTAAACTCTGATGAAGGGGTGGATAAGAGGGCACTTACCTGTCCTCTGTAGCAGCTATTGAAATAGAGGCAGGGTCCAAAATGCTTAAACAAGAGGGTTTTGTCATCATAAGGAATCCTAGGCACCATGTCATTGCAGTAAACGTACCTGAAATATTTCACGTCAAATTCCCTCAACTTCTCCTTCATAAACGCCCCAAACTTCTCGTCCCCCACCCTTGGCTGCCCAAAGGTGTAAACCCCTTCCAATCTCTCCAACAACCATTCCTCCTCGTGTAAAACTAGCACAGCTGCAAACAGGATAGATAATGCCCCACCTAAGCTATGCCCTGTCAATATGAACTTGGCTTCCTGATTCTTCTGCAAAACCTCTTTCAGCTTTTCTCTGATAGTGTAGTAAGAAAATTGATGTCGTCGGTCACTGCCTTGTTGGATCTCTTTGGGCCAGCCCTGGTTCTTTTGCAGGCCTAGAGCTTTCATAAAACCACTATGGGCCTTACCCACTTTTTTCAGCTGATACCAGGAAATATCGAAGTCGGTCCGCCAGGCGTCGGCATCAAATGGAGCGGTGCCTCTAAATGCAACCACAATCAGGTTGGGGTTAGCCTGTGTATCCTGGAGCAGGAAGGCTTGGGTTGAAAAACGCTCTTGGTAATCTGCGAAACAAAGAAGTCTTAAATTAGTAAGTAAAGACAAATGAATCCTTGGTGGAGGATAAAAGAAGTCTTAGATTAGATGGAAACGTTAATAATAAAATGAATCTTTATTTACAAGTTATCAATCCTTTAATCTGCTTATGTTCAATCCTTAAACTATCACGTAATATGCTTAGTATTTGAATAATGTTGACTTTCATTCATAGTTAATACCCTGAAGTACTGCCTGAAGCTAACAAAATGCTTGGTCCAAGAGAAGCAAAATATCCTAAGTTCTGTTTTAAGTATAATAAATGACTTGACTATTTAGCATTGGCTTTGGTTAAGTAATATTTGACCAAGCAAAGCTTTTGGTTGGTCTTGTGGACTAAAGCACCAGCAAAAGCCCAGGTGTTGGGGGAGGGCCGAATCAAGGCTGTAGCTGTAGCCATTATACCAGAAAAAAGATGACAAGAATGGGGTTTACTCCATTTGAAAGCTGATCAAATGCTTGAAAGCAAACAAACCCTTGCTTGTTAATTCAATACAAATTGTTGGAAAGTGCCAATAAGATTTACTATGAAATAAAAAAATGGCTACCAGCTGCCTAAACTTGGCAGATTAGGGAATCTGTGTATAGAGCAGCGAAAGACTTTAAAATGCCCAAAAGTTGTATATTTTGTTGTTTCTTTATAATCTTTCTTATTCTCCAAAAAAAGAATCTAACTTATTCTTACCCCTTACTCAATGAATCATGGCTATTTCTTTAACCCTACATCAACAATGTCGTCTGCATATGACTTGTTTTATGTATTATACAGTACTAATCATCAGACATGCACTGCCTTCAGAAACAGCAGTGTCTTTTACTGTAATTAATTCAAGTTAGGTTAGACAAGAAGAAACAATGTAATTTGTTTATAAAACTATATTGATATATAGATAGTTGATTAAGAGGAGGAATAATCCCATCTCTCTCTCTCTATCTTTTGATTTGTATCTAAATGTTGGATGCCAACTGAATTTTTTATATAATTAGAAACAACAACAGACCATCATTGCATTAATTAACATATATTCTTAAGCATTTTCCAGCTTTCTAATTTCCTGTTAATCAATGATACTTAATTTAATTAATAAAGATAACTTTACCACTTGGAAATCGATAAGGCCATATATAATTATTTAAAAAAGAAATACAAAATTATAACTTGCATCTCACGTACCGTTCCAAAAATTATAAAACTTCAAGAATTTCATCTGCTCCACAAAAAAATGGTCAAAGAAAAAAAATTGAGAACAATCATATTTTATTTAAGAAAGCAAAAGATTTAATGGGAACATATTCTTTAGTATAAAAGTGAACTAAATATTGATTAATACCATTCATAGTTTATTTTCTTCTTCTGAATAATCAATATATAATATCTCAAACATTAGTATTTGTGTTTTTGAAGAACTTATAGGTATGAACATATATACTTAGATCATCGCCTTAAATGCGAAAAACATACCTTCCAATGTTGTATGATTTTGCCTTTTATGAAGGCTTCATTCTCGTACGACAGCTTAGAAGCCATCATAGACAGTGACGCTTTGTATTTGCTGTCGTCAGGTTCAATGCTGTTGTCTAATTCAAAGCGACTGTCCACATTTGCTAACACAGATGTGTACGTCTCCGATGATTTATCAGGCCACACGAATTTCCCTGCACCATCAAAACCCCATCTCTGAATCGTTACTTTGAACCCTTTTTAGCAACGAAACAATTGTTTTTCATGCAAACTACGATAGGTTTCATTCTGTTCAAGGCAGGCCAGTTTGCAGATACAATGGAAAAGAAGAAATGATAGTAGGTACGAGGAAAGCAGACGAATACCTGTTACAAGGTTTAGGAGGAGCTTGAAAAGGCCGCCGTTACTTGATAAGAGATTGAGACACATCTGGAGAGCATTCCCCACCAGGGCCATAGGTTTTGTTCCCAAAAGGAGGAGTTTCTGAACAAGAACGGAGATGAAGATAAGCCATCTACGACGAAAATCTCCTTGTTGCTGCCGTTCTGGGCAGTCGATGAATCTTATTTTCTCCAACTCAGAGGAAAAAAGTAGGCCGAAAAGATCGAAGAAGCTTGCTTCCTTGGGGTTGAGTAGCAGATAATCGTCGCAAAAATGATTGGCAGTAGCCATGGCTTGGAAGCAAATGCAGAAGCATACGAATTGCAGCGTCAGCGTCTGAGACAAAAATCTTAACTTGCAGGAGCTTTAAAGTTATATTAATAGTAAACAATGTACACCGACTAGAAAGACCTTTAGCGCAAGGAAAGCCGGAAAGGGAAGTATATGCTATAAAATTAGAAATGCTTCATTAATCTTCCTAATTCCCTTTCGACTTCAACAAATCAAGAGCCAACAGTTGTTGGTCTCTCTTCAAATATTTTATTAAAAGAAAGAGTAATTGCTGATTAATTAATTGTATACGTAATGTAGCTTAATTAATCTTTGTTTTTTCAGTTTGACCAGTAAACTAAATACAGCTTAGTTGGAATTTTGCCTGCAGTTTTTTTTTTTTTCTTTTTCTCTTTTGTTTACTGTAAGAAAACTCTACGTAAAATACTAATGATGATGAGGTAATGTATTAATCAGCTAGTGTTAGTTAAATTTATTACATATCGAAAAGATAATATAATTGTGAGTAGAGTATGGATCTCATAGAGAGTTGGTCTAAAATTTGATTAAATATTAAAATTAGAACAATTTAATCTTATTTAAACAACTAATAAAATAACTAAATTAATTAACTAAAAGTTAAACTAAAAGGAAAAATCAAAGTAATAATAACTTGAGAAAAATCAAATCTTACAAGCCTAAGATTACAATATCCTTCACACTTCATCTAAATCTTAATTCTTTTCATTAAATTATTTCAATAGGTTGAATTGTTAACATAGAATCCTTAATTATTTATAAAAGTTTCCCAACTTATAAAAATATCTATTTTAATCAAAATACTATATCCTTATGTGAATTGAAATTAAAATAAACTCATTAAGTTTAAACTCTAATCGAGCTACATATGACCCATAGGTATATCCTTATCCTATACACAAATAATTAATATGATCATATGCAATCTCAATTTTAGTCTACATTAAACTCCCTTTTCCAGGTTTGTTTAGATTACGAAATCAATATAATTGGTGATTAGACAATTAAAAACATTAAGAATAAATTAAAATGAACAATTCAATTCCATTAAAAATAAACAAGAAAGAGATTAAAAATTCAGATTACATTGCAATTTTAGAAAAATAAATTTAGCTACTCATAATTGCAAAGATAAATAAAAATATATGAAATTTAACCATTAAGAGTAGCAAGAAATATAAACACTAAGGAATAAAACAAAACAAATATTTGCATCCTTACTCTCCAAGTTTTAGCCTTAACTTCTAACTTGTTGAATCTATTGGAGTTGTCTCCCTTAATGTCTGATAAAAATATTCTATTTATGCTAACAATCTTAACTTAAAATCTCTTAAGTTAACTTACTAATTCTAATTGAGCTTAAAAGTGTAATGAGAGGTCCAAAAATCAAATATCATCTTTTTAAAATTTCTATTCCTACAACAACACCCTTAGTCATCTTCCAACATGATTTTATTTGTCTTCGATACAAAACTGGGCAAAGTAATCTTATGAAAGTGTTAGCTCTGTTTTTTAGCTTTCCAATGGTTCAAGAATCGTATTATTTGAAGTTTTGTAGCAAGAGTTGTGGATAAAATGCTGAAGCATATACAAGCAGAATTCACAATCTTTCAAACAATTTACTTCTTGAAATTAAGTTTTATTTTCTTAAATCCTATAAACGTATAAAAACTAAAAAATAATAGTAAATTAAACTAAATAAATATATAATTAAATAATTTTATAAAAATAAACTAATTATATAAATAACTAAAATAACTAATTATAATTAAAAATTAAAGACTTAATAATATTTAATAAAATTAGATTAAAATAATTCTAAAAAATAGAATTATTAGTTAGTATGCAATTAATTATTAAAGAGTAATAGTTTTGAAGTCTTTAAGAAGGTTGAAAAATGAGGAAATGAGATTAGAGCATGAGGTTGAAATTTGTAAGGGATCTAGTGTTTCTTGTAAGCAGCATAGCGCCACGAAGCACACCACCATTATGATTGATGATCACACCTTCAGTCTGTACCCTGCCATTTCTCTCTATCCATTTTGCCTCAGCCTGATGCATCAAAGCACTGCTGCTCTACCTCCTTGCTAATGCTGAGATGGATCGATCTCTGTTTCTTGACTACCAAACTACCATTTTTCTGCAATGAGATTACAAAGCTTACATGCGAGTCGAAAATCCCTTGATCAGCTAAACGTTCGAAAGACATGGTCGAAAGAATTGCTTGTACCATCATCTTCGAGTTGGAGTTTTCCACTACGAAAACATTTTCTCTTAAGAACACTGTTAAGACTTGGTCATGTAAGTGGTAAGTAAGAATGGAAAATATCCCCTTCAACAATCATGAATAATACTATATACCCCTTCAAACGAACGTTTGCATTCTAAGCTCATGTTGTTCATGACTTTTACGTCCAAAAGATTTTGGACTATATGCACACACTATCATATGGATGGCCTTCATGGGGGCAAGAGATGTGTACTTTTAGGCCTCACTCCACGTTCACCTAATGAAAAGCTCGAAACCCAATGTTTATAGACCCAAGAAAATGGTAATCGGGCCTAGAATAATTGTTGTTTTCGGTCTGAGTTTATGTTATATTTCTCCTCGTGTGAAAATTTTTTGTCACTTTCCTGCAGGAGAGTCAAATATGTAAATCCAATGAAACCATCTTCACAACTTATGCTTAACAAAGATTTAAACATAATATGATTTTATATTTCATAAATATGAAGAAAATAAAAATACTTGTTGTAATAGGTGGATTAGGTCCATGGTTGAATTTTTGGGAATTGATGGCAACTTTTTGAAAAGAAAACTAGAAAATGGGATCAATTGAGCTGCTTTCACCCTGCTTGGGGTTTCCACCCTTTGGACCGCCACCACCGACGTATCATTGTTAGAGTCAATAAAGAAGAAGGTGAAGGTGATCCGTTGGTTTGACTCACGTTCTATTTTCTCTTCTTAATTCTCCCTAACTTTGAAGGAATATATGCAATGCTTTGGGTCGGTCATTGAGTTTTTTACAGCGTCAACCCCTATACGATCCCTTTGATTGAAATTTTGCTTTCACATTTGGAGAAAGCATCATTGGGACAAATTTTCCATGATTCTGCAAGGAATACATCCCACCCTTCAAATAGGACAAATTGATAAACAATATTGTCCCCAAAGATTAGATTTTGTGTCCTTTTTTTTCATTTAGAGGGACCCCCCTTCCTCCCTACAGTCTAATCCGACCAACCAACGGACACATGTTAATGTTTTGTTCTTGTAACATATATAAAGTTATTTACTCTTTTCTTCTGGTTGGTGCTCATTTCATTTTTATCATCACAACATCTTTTGTATCTCTTCCTCTTACATCAGGGCGCCTGGATAGAACATTGCTCTTTTTCTTTTTCTTGTCATTTTCTCCATAAGTTATTGATAGTTATGCTCACGTTTTCTTGTTAGATCTAAACAGTCAAGATAAAGACGAGACTGGAAAATTTATTGGTTAGAGGGAAGCCATGATAAAAATGTCTCTACTTTTCTTAGTTGGATGAGCATGGAGGCCAAATGTATACAATTTGTCAAACGTTTTTGAGACTTGAGAGAGATCAAATTATTGTTCAGATTTTCAACCGAGTACCATATCATACTAACGAATGCTAGGAAGCATGGTCTCTCTCCTTGATCAACTCATGTTATTGAGCAGCTTCCCCTTACTGTTCCTGTTATTAATTAAGTGCCTTGTATTGCTCTTGTGAATCCTGTCATTGTCCCATTTCCCGATTCCTAACACCAATGAAGCAATGCTACACATTGTTATTTCTCATTGCTTTACTTGTTGACTAGCTTTCTAATCATAGTGCAGGAAGATAATTTCCTTCTTCTATTTTCATTGCTTTTGACTTAGGATAAGTTTTTTACATTGAACATGCATATAATTGATAAAATCTCAAATCACTCACACTATTAAGATTTTAAAATTAACCTTTTGAGAAATCACATAATTACAACTAAAAATCATATTGAAACTATAAATAATTAGAGTGAATGTTATAATTGATATCGAAATACGTTTTATCGTTGTCTTATATTAATTATGATTGTGATATATCATTTTTTGATGTAGGAATCAATAATTTAAATGAGAGAGTGCTAAGCTAATGGTATATGTACATGTAAATAAACTAGATAATGGCATATGAGAAATAAAACATTTTGAGTCCAAAACTACAATTTCAAGAGTTTTTGGTAAGCAAAGATGTCGGCATGGCACGTGTTTGTTCTTTTTCTAATGGTAGCTACCTTGCTTTTCCATGCTCGGAGAAACCTTCTTGAACTTGCTTCGAATTTCCCCTTTCTGCAATCTTTAATTCATATAGGATCATATTTTTCATGCATCAATAGCTCCATAAGACATTTCGGGATATTAAAAGCATGTCTTCAAGAATACAGAGCACTTAGGGGTTGTATGGGTTTATGCCTTATACTTACAGGACAAGGGGGCTCCCCTTTGCTGAAATGCCGTACTCCCTCGATGTGCTGATGTCGGACCTGAGAGGGATATCTCACATGGGTTTTCTGATAACATGTTTGACCATTTCTTATTATTATATATCATGCCCCCTTAACTTTCTTTGTTTTATATCTCCTGGATTGAGTTATAGATTGGATTGGATTGGGATTCGGGCAAGGAGGAATGAATTGGCTTTTAGTGAGGTGAGGCATGATGCTTGAGACATCACCACTTCTCCAATTCAATCTTGCATTAGGAGGCAACCTACCCTTCTAACTCTGACATCATCCTGGCTAACATTGGGCAGTCTTGCCTTTGTGAAGAAAGAGAGGAAATAAAAACCTTGTGGGATTTTGTGGAAGTGATTGATCATATATATTATTGAAGTTTATAATTTTGACTGCGATTCTGCTTTAGAAAAGTTGCGAAGCCATTTTCTTGATGTTTGGTTTATTGCAAAAGATTTGTCGACATGAGGGAGGACCAGTGCCCAGCGGTCCAAAATTCCAAATAATGTTCAGATTAATGTTAAGTATGAGGCCGAGAAGC